TATGCAATGCTATGTAAAACACAAATCTCTTACTGAATTCAGTCTCCAATTGTTTGACAAAATTGTTGGCCAAAGGAATACAACTCTCACTTCCAGTCAATACAATAATTGACTCTTTTGTGAGAAAATCTAATTTATGTTTTTGTAAACCAAATAACTTTTGCGTCAAATTTGAGACGTTTTGAAACACATTTCTCACGTGATCTATAATCTTGTCGTCCACTTCGCCCTCTTTGTACACTCTGTAGATCTGCTTATCGACCATCTGTTTCTTGTCGCCAAACGGCCATAACCTCCAGGTCTCGTTGTCGATAATGTCGGCCAACACTAGAGTCTTATTGTGGTTCTCGTCACAGATTACACCAAACTCTACCTTCACGTCAACCAATTGATAGTCGATTGAATGCCACACTCTTTCCAGTATCTCATAAACCAATTTCGCTAATTTCAATATCTTGTCGACCACTACCTCATCAACCAATAGGCCATTGATTATGAATTTTTGCTTAACGAGTGTCTCGATAGACCACAACGGGTCGTGATTGGCGTCGTCTTTAATGTGGATCTCCACTACCGGTGACTCAAATCGATGGCCTTCAGGGATATCCGGATTCAGAGCCAGGAAAGTGCCCGTAGCTATACGTCTATGTATTCAAACAATAGTATCATTGAATAAATATTTAAGACCGATGTTTGCAAATTGTATTGACAGTATTGACTGCATACCTGACTACGAGCTCAATGGGAACCATAAGGCAGTGTTTGGCCACAAACGAGTTGTCGGAGTTGTTGTCTCTGCAGACAAACGCTGTGTTAAGTCCGACAGCATTGAAAAACTTGAATATCGAAGAACTCGTCTCAACGGTTATCCTTCCCTTTCCATCCATTATCCGTCGGTTCCGACTGTTGTCCCCTAATATATGGATTCATAATTTCGTGCATTAATTTTATATATGTTTTTATTTACTGAATTTGAATTACCGGCAGATATATTGTCTTTGTTTGTAATGTAAACCAATTCGCTGTCTGTCCCGAAAGAGCCGTCATTTTTAAAGTGAAATACCCTTTTAGTCTTTCCTTCACTTATTAAATCTCCGATTTGTGAAACATTAATATCTATTGTAAAAAAAAGTTTATCATTTTATATTTACATTGAATGACTATTGCTTCATAAATTACCCATTTTATATTATGGATTAATACTATTTGTAATTTAATATAAAATTATTAAAGCATTTACAAAATTTTTGTATTAATATCAAACTATGAATTGTCTTTATATACAAAAATGCAAACAAAATAATTAACGAATTATATCTCAGAGATTAACATTAGGACACATGTCCTAAAAATTCCCGAAAGAATTTGATTATATTATCATAATTTAGTGCTAATTATTAATGAATGATGTGTTAAAACGAAAGTTTGATAAAGGATTTTGAAAACATCTAAAAAATATACAAAATATACAGCGTTTTTCAATCGTCTCCTCAATGTTTGATTAAAGGGACCGAAACACGGGTTTGTCTGGAAAGTGGAGACATTTAATAGAAAACGTCTTTGAGGTAAAGATAGTGGAAATTGTGATAAATAATAGAGATTTATGCAATAGTTAATGATTATTAAATTTGTATATAAAAGATTGGATTGAAAAGTTAATAAAAATATGATATTAAGACACGAGTACTTTATTTTTAGATAATAAGTTCAGTATTTCTCAATAATACACAAGAAATACTTTAAAATATGTTGTTTTGTTTAATGAAAACTTTTAAATAAATTGAAAAGTATGAGATAATTGAAATATGTTAGTTTAGATGTTT